TGCCAGGATGCCATGTGTACAACATTGATCCGTCGCGCGCGAGCACCTTGGTTAATTTGAAAGCTCGTATTCTTGCAGTTCGTGATGGTAAATGGCCCGTTCCACCGCCTTCTAAATTTTCCTGCTCCGGGGCCGGATGTTTCTGGTCGACCTTATTCTCTTACGTTCACCTGGTCTCCGATCCTGAACGGGCGCCATTTATGTGTGTTGGACCTCTCGTCATTTGCATGCTTATTTCGGCGTTATCTTTTTGCTGTCCGTTCAAGCGCACGGTGTTCCAGGTGTTGTCGTTCTTGCGGCACTAATTGCCCCTCTCTGTCTCTGGACACGCAGACATCCAAGAGAATTCTTCGGTTCCCTCCCGTATGTCAGTTCAAATGGCGAACTCTCGGTTGTTGCATGCTTCGTCGTGCGATATCCAAACAAAACATCCGGCAGTCCCTCTTCCCAGTTATTACCTCTGCTATTCAGCCATTCCTTCATTGTCCGATTGAACCGCTCCGTCAACCCGTTCGTTTGTGGATGGTACGGCGATGTTCTCAGGCGCTGTATCCCCCAATTCTTCAACATCTCTTGAAATTGCCGCCCCTCAAAACACGGGACCCTGGTCCGTGATAACTCTGTGGGGTACTCCAAAACGAGCCAAGACGCTGTTCGTGAAAGTGTGTGCAACCGTTCCGCTCGTTTGGCCCACTGTGTGAATGGCTTCCACCTACCGTATGAAACGGTCGATCAACTATGTGGCGATTTCCATTTGGACTTGTTGGGAGCGGACCAAAAATGTCTATGCCCCAGGTGTGCGCGGCTTCCTCTGTTACGATCGACTGCATCGGCGGTGTTGTCGTCACTGTCTCTCGGTTCTGTTGGCAATGGGGACAGGCTCGAATGAAATCAATCACATCTTTCCGCATCGTGGGCCAAAATACCCTTCGCCGCAGCAGTTCGAACACGCGTTCTCGTCCCATGTGAACATCTGTGTGCCAGTCGAATCACACGTTCCCTCTGGTCCACCGGAATAAATGGCAGTCTTCGAGGTCGAAGCCCCTCTGCACCTCCACATCGACGACGAGTTGACCGTTCTCCAGGTGTAGCCGGTCCCAGATCTGTAACAGATCGTTCAGTCCCGAAGTCAACGTCTTGGGTTTGGTTCCTGTCAGGAAACGTTCGCATATTTCGCTTACTTAAGAGTCTTGATGTTAAATGATTAAGATCTCTTTGTCAATAACCAGTGTTGTGAGCCAAGAACACGGATGGCGCAAGGGTTATTTATTCAGGAAACCAACACATGGGTTATGCGTTTCAACATGACAACAAACAAACTCATCTGCGTACGGTACTGGTCCCAGAACGTCACGGTTGCCACAGACGTCAATGCTCAGTTCCTGCATGTACCAAGAACCATTTCATGCGATGCTGCACTCCGATGTTTCTTCTTGTATTTTTCCTGCGGCTACTTCGATGTCAAAATATATGCTCTGGTTCCACTACTGAATAGCAGTGGTGTGAGTAGTATAGCATGATCGCTCCTCCTCACTACACCAGTATTCTGTTCCAGCGTATGGCTTCAGTTGGCAGCTCATTGTTTGCGACAATATGCCAGGCACTTAATCGTTTCTACCATTTACATTTCCGATGGTAAAGTTGAACTCTTGCAGTCGAAGTGCCCAGCGTGCCAGTCGTCCGCGCGGATCCTTCGCCGTCTTTAGCCAGATCAGGGGTTTGTGGTCGGTCTCAACATGAAAGGTGGTCGCTATCAAATAGGTCCTCCACTTCTCCAGCGCCCAGACGATAGCTAGGCATT